ATAAATTGAAGGGATGTTTACATCAACAGTACAAAGTGTTTTTGAATACCCCCCCAAACAACAAGAAATTAAAAGTTCTTAGCCAAGTTTTCACCCAAGTTCATTGTCAACAATGACAAAATACAAAGCAACTAACTTGTAATTTCTATTAAAAAGTCAAATGTTTTTCTTGTAAAATCATCAAAATAATTTAAGAACAAAAAAAAAATCCCTAGGGGAATTGACAAAAATACATTTTGTCTGAAAAAATGAAGGAAGGTACATGGAAACTGACTCTGTAAGATGACAATTTATTACTAATTTCAAAGTTCTCGTTCACAAGTAGCATTTCACTATTTTATTGACTGCAACCTGAAACTCAAAAACCTTTCCAAACACTGAAACTTACTGGTTTTGGTTTCTGATTTAGGCTGTTTAGTTAAAACTTGATTCATTGACTTTAAAAAAGCGAATAAAGACGGCCTTTTGTTTAAAAGGGCACAACAATCAGGCACTCTCCACTTAAAGTAGGTTTTCCCTTGTAAAAATGTCTTTCGCTATTCTAGTAAATGTCCCAAACTTAAAAGCACCCCAATTTCCTTTAAAATATTTGATATCAAAGAACTCAAGAAAGACCAACAGTCCACCAAATTACAAATGCAAGTATACTGAGGACTTCTTGTGGATGAAGTTTACCCAAGAATGGGACTTTTATCTATACTAAAGTAAAACATGAACCACCATTAACTCCATGTTTTCCTGGTAAACAATAAATATCAAAGTTAAAAGTATTTCAATAAATATGACAAGCCAATCTAAGCATAAAGTTGGCAGACAGAATTGATACCTCAGCACAATTTCAAAACTATAAGCAACTACCAAAAAAAAAAAAATCCGCACTCCACCCATACTACTTATATAATGTTTTGGAGTAAGCAAAGCTTGTGAGCCTCACCTTTGTTTTCACTGAGCAAAAGGAGGGTTAAAGCTAAAACACCAATAGCAAAAATACCAAAAGATGCAGTTAATCTTCCTACAAGGGAAAGACTAAAATTTTAAAACGTTAATGTATTTAAGTTACTCAAGGGCAGGGCACTTTCCCAAGTTACAGCCATTTTAGATTCAAATTTTCTTTTGAATTTCACAGGTTGGGAAGAAGTGGGTTTAAAATAAGGGAGGAAAAGTCGTTAAAACACTTCGGGATCGCCCAGTTTTGTTTTGTTCACGGGAAGGCAGATGGGAGACATTGAATAGACCTAACCTAAACAAACACACCTCATTACCACCAAGAACCGGAACTCGGCAGATTAAAACTCTTTTCCCCTCAGCTACCCCGCATTTGACTTACACTTTTTCCTCCATAGGTTTTGAAGAAAAACAAAAGCCCTTAAGTTTTCACTTTAAGAACGAAAGAAAAAGAAACCCGTAAACCAAGCCACTCAATCAGTACCAAGCCGGATTGCCTGGAGAGGAGCCAAAGAGCCGCAGGTGAGCGTTCCGACCCGAAGACTGAAGTTGAAGCAGAAGCGCTCGGTTAGAGCCGCCGCGACGCTCGCCTGCAAATGTCCGCAGGCGGGGATGGGAGGGAGCCCGGTCCCGATCCACTCGACTGGTGGGATCCGCCAGCCCCTCTCGCGTCGGACCTTCACCTTCACCCCTCCACCTGTGTGAGAGCTTCTTAAAACTAGTTTTTAACAGCCGGCCGGTAGGCACCGGGCGGAGCCCTAGGCTAGGACCACTCCAAGATCCCCTACTGTCCTGTTGTCCGTAACTCCCACTCACCGGGCAGCAGCCAGGCGACAGCCAAGGACGAGACGCGACGTCTGAGGACGCGTTTCCAGTTTCTCGACCTGGCAAAGGCAGTCAGCCCACAACCATAACAAAGCTCTTCCCAAAATGGCGGCCCGGCCCACAAGGCCCAGGAGGGGCAAAGCTAGTGGAGGAGGAGGAGCGACAATCAGCACGGCCCTCCCCCTCCCCCATCCAACCCCGCCTTACACACGCCCACCTGCTGGAGCCGGCGCGCATGCGCAGAGGACACGCTGTGCTGTCCTGCGGGAGACGCCGGCGCCCCAAGCTGCCAAACGTTCAGCTGCGAGAACGGCGGTTTTTCCTTATCTGCTCCCGGCTCCTTTCAAGACCGCTCCGGGAGGCGTGTTGTTGTCCCCGTCCCTCTGCAGAGTTGAATCCTCTACTTTTCCTCGTGCTACCTAAGAGACGGCGACTAGCCTCCACTTAGTACTCCCCTACTTACCTCCTTGCGGGATACTAAGGCTTGGGCGCTTGCGAATGAGTGGGTGGATGGATGGGTGTGTAAGTGTACCCGTTCTTGCCGCCCCGTCTTTCTTCACCTTCCTACAATCGGCCACTGGGTAAATACGCGTTCCCCCAACTACTTTTGCAAGTCCTAACAAACCAGTTGCAGAGGAATGTGTGTTTTCCGACCCCTTTCCACCTTCCGCTCCTTCTTTAACTAATGCGCCTCGTTGAAACTCCAGCCCCCGGTGGGCTACACGGTTCCGCTCCGGACCCGCTGGGAGTGGTAGTTCCCGAACAGGTGTCACACCCCAGCTCCAGCGCAAGGCGGCTTTTGGCCAGGGCCTGCGTCTTTCGCAGCGCTAAGAAGTCGTTCTACCTGAAGTCTATTGGGTATTGCACGAGGGGAAGGGGCGATGCTGCCATTGACAGAGAAAGAAAAGTGAAAGCCTATCTCTACCCAAGCTCTTCCTATCACCAAGACTTTGCAGTGGCCCCATCTGGCTTGAAAAATTAAACCGTATGATGGCTGGCAATCTAGACGCTAGGCTGTCTAGAATTTGGAGAAATGAAGGAACTCGCTAGCTTGGGTGTCTGAGATATTTTTTTTTTACCCTTAGAGACAGAAAGTCACTCAAATTACCTAATACCACTTCCTTTGATAGACTCAGAGGCCCGGCGGCGAGAAGGAACTTGCCCAAGGTCACACAGCCGATAAACCGAAGTTGGTAGGAGGAATGTTCTGACTTCTCTGATCACTCCCAAATCCAAGGAAGGCTCTTAGCACCACCTCTTTCATAGAAGTGGAAATCCTCCTGCCCCTTGTGCTCTTCATTAGTTAATGGAATTTCTAGGTCATAGCAGAGACAATGGAAAGAGAAACTGGGCTTCCCGCTCCTTTTTTTTTTTTTTTTTTTGCAGTTTTTGGCCATGGCTGGGTTTGAATCCACCACCTCTGGTATATGGGCCTGTCGCCCCACTGCTTTGAGCCCTTTCCTCCTCCTCTTTTAAATAAGACTGGTGTTTAAAATGGAGTTAGATGAGCCCCATAGGTCTCATAAGCCCTGTTGTTTAAAAATTAGTTCCAGAAGATGGCCAGCAATTTAACCAGGCCACTATTGGGCTAAATTCCTGTCTCTTGCTTTTCTCCTCTACCGTTGCTCTTGAGATCCGAACTCTGCAGACAGAGTCGCTGGTTAGGAGCCCTGGACTAGAGAGTCAAGGACCCTTGGGGTACCTTCTTCGACATCTGACTTATACTAGAATTTAGATTTTAAAAGAATAAGACTGGGCACGGTGGCTGACGCTTGTAATCCTAGCACTTGGGAGACTGCGTGTGGACATAGGTTCAACCTGAGCCAGAGAGAGACCTCCGTCTCTTTTTTTTTTTTTTTTT